TACATGTATGTGAAATGTTCGGGATGTATGTTCATGCATGGTTGAATATCATGCTCACGCCTGTATTGGTTTTCGGTAGATCAGATAAACTCACACACCGACCCCAAATCATTGAAGTTCCATAAAAACTCACATGGGAAGCCTGAGGTTAGACTTAATTAATTTTGTATTGCTTTCCAGTGGCCTTGTCATTTGTCCTGAATCTTCCTCTTTTTACAAATTTGGAATTTGTTGCAGATAGAGTGGCAAATCACGGATAATTGGTGCCCACCTCCTTTGCATTTCAACATCTCTCACACTTCTTCTCTGGTAGCATGTGGAGTGACCACCAAAGCTCGTGTTAGTTATCTAATAATTCTCGTTCTTTAAATTTCGACACCCGTGATATTCTCATCAATTTTAGTTTCCTTACAAGTATAGATTGGTATTGATGTGGAAGAAAAGCAGAGGAAAATTAAGCACGACGTTTTATCTTTTGCTCGACGCTATTTCTCCAAACACGAGCTTCGATTCTTGGCGGCAATTTCCGACCCACAAGTTCAGCACATGAAATTTGTTAAATTATGGACACTCAAGGTCTTATTCATTGATATAACTATGTGAAAACCCCTTTATTCTTTAAATCTCATTGGGAAGTATGAAAATTTTAACTCGGTCATTACAGAACAATTCTTAAGAATATTCACTTACTGAAAGTCATTTTTATAGGAGGCATATGTCAAAGCCTTGGGCAAGGGGTTCTCAGGTGCACCTTTCAAGACATTCACCATACACTTTGAAGGTGTGGATAAACGAGGCTTCAGTTCAATTGATTATTCAAGTCCTAAGGTTTGTCAGGCAATTTTATTTATTTATTTATTTATTCCAGGTTTTTAAACAGGGAATGTTATCTGTGTGTTTATGTAGCTTTTGAACACACTATATATATATATATAATAACAACTTCATGGTTCTCTGATTGGCATCTGTATCATCTGAATATTAGATTCCCTTACATTTTCTTCAACTTCAACCGAAATAGTCCTCTCGGTTCTAGCTTTTGCCTTAATGAATGCTCGAAAGTACATTATTTTGGTGTAATTTGCCGGCATTGCTCTCAGGCTTCTGAAATAATTGTGGAGTCTCTCGACGAAACTACTGACATTACAAGTAATTGGCAATTTGTGCTGTTGGAATTGGCTAATTTGCATTATGTGGCAATTTGCACTGAGAAACCTGGTGATGTTGAAGGTATTATTACTATGATGCAGCCCAAATATCTGCATTTAATATTCTTTAATTTTTTTTTACAGTTATTTATTATTTTCTGATGTAGGCAAAATAAATGTTCCGAGGAAGTTAAAGGTGTGGAAAACAGTTCCATTTTTGGAGGATGTGTGTGTTTCTGGAACAGATGCAGTTAAAATAATTTGTGGCTTGCAGTGATTTTGGACTTGAGGAAGTATTTGAACTTTACAAATTCTTATATGAGTCGACCTAACCGTGACCTAACCGTGACAACTCGTAATGCCTTTTTTTTTTTTTCCATAAAAAAGCATATTTGTGTTATTAAATGTCATTTTTTTTATGTTGTTTTTAGAATATGATATGAGTGCCTAAATGTGAAACTTGGAAGTCTTGAAAATCTTGTAGCTTGAAAGTATTTGTAAATTATGGTAATTAATTGAGTTGATTTTCCTCTTTTTATTTTTCTATAATGCTCAATTATAAGAAAAATCTCTCAACACAAGGCCCCACTGGAAGTTCTTAATAACACGTATACCATCCTCTTTCGAACCAACATTCGAATTTAATGTACTTAAACCGATCATTTTTCTACTGACTTGATATGAATTTTATGTATATTCTATTTTTACACCTTACTTAGAAAAAATGAAATATTTGCAATTTAAATACAAGTTTGCCTATCAATCTATTTCTTGGTCTGTTAGCCCTTGGTTTGTTTATATGATATATAAGATCTTCTATCGTTTGGAAAAAAAAAATACCACTATTTTCTCCGCACAGAATTATCCAAAAATAAAATAAAATAAAGCAGGATTCATAGCTACGACTATCTTCTGATCTTCATACTAAAAAAGAAGGATTAAGTGCTAATCCATACCTAGTCAGCAGTGACTATTTTCCTGGTGAAAGTATAGAGATCAATTGAGATCCTCATTAGTTGAACCATTTTTTCTGTGGCTTATTGACATCTGTTAACTGCTCAGATGCTTACATTATTACATATCACACAGACCTCGATAAATCCAAAGTTTCTGAGCAAAAACAGAAAGTAGGACAAGACTTGGAAAAAAAAAAAAAAGGAAAATAAAAATTAAACTGCTCACTGATCACTCAGAAATCAAAATAATTATCCGTCGATCAAGAAAGCATGACGAGCTCCGAGGGATTTCCAGCCGTTGATGTAGACAAAGAGTTGAATCCATGCTCTGAGAAGGATTTCTTGGCTGACTCGATTTCTGCAGATTGTGTAACTTCAAAGGAGATTAAGGTATGTAAATCACAGTATAATTAACCTCTTGTTTATGTGATTGATCAAATAACTACACAAAAATGTACGTAGGCCACTGTATTGGATCTGAATTACACATGAACAGAAACAACGATCGTTTATATTGAGCCTCGGATCAAGATTAAGTATCTAAGCTATCCAATTTATATGCAAAGCTTGCAAGACTTCTAAAATCGTCACTCGTGGTTCATCTTTTCTTTATGGATTTATCTCCATTATAGTTGGCATCGACTTTTCATTTTTTTTTTTTTTTTTTTTGACATTATAGCAGCATTGGCTCAAATACTTCACTGCTCAATTAATTATGTGCGAACGCATTTCATTCACCCGAGTTAATGTAGTCACCATATAGCACAGCATACATATACACATCATAGCTTTAACCATTGTTTTAAATAGCTCGCTATGTAGCTTCTTTTCCCAAAAAACGCGACGTAGCTTTATATATTTAGCATTTTTCCCGAAAAGCTTACACGAAATGCTGAAATGACACGTTTTTTACGCTATTTTGCGTTATTTCAAGCTATTGTACGCGACATTGCGCTAAATTTCTGTACGACAATTAAATAATAAATTATTTTAAAACTCGTATTTTGTTGGATTAGAGTCATTATTCAAATTACAACTAAAAACTAAACTTTTGATAATGATTTTAAATTAAAAGCTTGAAAATGCAAAATCTTAAGTTGAATATTGCAATATTTATCGGTCAATTTCTATTATATCATTTTAATTTTCGATATCTAGCATTTAAATAAAGAATAAAAAATTCATATATAGTGGTTAGAATTAAGTTGTAGTTAAATAAAAATAATAATTAAAATACATGTACTTAAAATTAAACTATGACTTACCTCATTTTATTTTGGTTATCTGTTTTTACTTTTTTGTATGTGCATTTTATTATTTAAATATTTATATTATGATATTCACATTAAACATTTGAGAGAAATAATTCTTAGATGTTATTTTTGAATTCATTCAAATATTATGATGATTTTTAGAATCAACCATCCAGTTTTATTATATGTAAATATATTTATAATATTTCTATAAAAATAATTTTTTATACTCAAATAACTTACGCAACACGCAACGCTATTTACGCTACGCAGTATAAAGACCAAAAAGCGACGCATTAGGCTATACGCGTTTTAAAACACTGCCTTTAACAATAATAATCACATTTACTTAGACTAGCAACGACTGCTTAATGTAATTCTCTTTACTGAACCCAAATGTCCTGTTGTAAAAATCGAATCTTTGACTACTTATTAACACAATTCAACCAAATCTTCACTTTCTCCAATTCAAAATCACACGCCCCGTGATTTTACAAACTTCTTGTTGTTCAGTGCACGCTGAGTAACTGACTAGCTATCATCAATACAATGCAAAACACAGGATTTTTAGCAAACCAATAAAATCTTGCAGGTGTTTTTAGTCACTTGACAAAACACACTCCATTTATCTATATGGACTGTAATGTAGCTAAAAAATACAATGTTTTTGTTAACTGCAGGATAAATATGAAGAGGCCGAAAGGAAAGAACGTGAAAAGAAGGACATTCAGAACCTTAAAACCGTGTTCGTTATTACAGGGATTGTGGTGGCTGTTGCCGGTTCAATCTTCGCCATAACCAGGAAACTCAGAGAGAAATGAGACTTGTTATATACTCTATTTTTGTTATAGAAGTTCTGTATCACACAATATTTTTCAAGATTATTAGTCATCATAACTATCCAGTGGTCATGTACTTGAAATTTATGTGGAACAGTGGAAGTGATGTGATCAGTATTTGTTGTGTAGTTAAGACTGCATGTTTTGAAATTAATTCTTGAAATGAATTTAATTTTCTCGAATTCACTTGGTATCAATGGAATATTCGTTTTATGCACAAATTCTTGAGTGATACAGTCTAACACTTAGGCGGGTTGACACATATGAGAAATGATAAACTTATGTATTTGTTTGTTTTTTAATTATGTACTTAGATATAAAATTATTATTTGTTACAGAAATAAAACTGTTAGATATGATATGATTTACTCTCGAATTTTATTTGGCGTTTCTCTATGGGTGGCATGTGTACAAGATTAAGTAAGATAATCTGTTAAGACAGTTGATCTTGAATTCTTGATCATGGATCTTTTTCCTTAAACACTCGACTGAGTCTTTCGTTCTCCGCATAAATTAATGGCTCAATTTCTCCAATTTCACCCGCCATATTCTTCCTCTCGATCCCCTTCCCTCTTTCACCTCAACCTCAAAATCCCCACATTCAGCCATGGCCAAATATTGCACACCAGCCGCTGTCCGGTTCGTTTCCCCATCAAACCATTCTCCGCACTCGCGGCGAGCGCCGCCGAACCCGGCGGTCGCCTCTCTCCGCTGATCAAACTCGCCTCCGTCACCGCACTCAAACCCTACCTGCAACCGGAATGGCGGCCGATCCTCTCCGGATGGCTGTGCAGCGCCGTTTCTGTCTACTCGCTTTCCAAAATCGTCCCTTTGGCCGGAAAACTCTCCTCCGCAATGGGCGCTGCGAGTTTGATGGGCACAAGGAAGGATATTCTGGTGTTGGGGGCTTTTGTTCTGACTAGAATCGTGGCGAATTATTTGCAGGAGGCTTTTCTGTGGGAGGCAGCGTTGAGCTGTGTGTACGAGATTAGGGTTCATGTGTTCAATAGGGTTTTGCAGAGGGATTTAGGGTTTTTCGAGAGTGAAAGAGGAATTTTGCCTGGGGATGTTGCGTACCGGATCACAGCGGAGGCCGAAGATGTAGCTGACACAGTGTATTCTCTTATCAATGTGAGAATCAGTAGTTAGTTAGTTATATAATTCATTTTGTGTGACCATGAGTTAAGTACTGTTATGTGATTCTGTGTTCAATGGGTTTGTGGGTGTGAGATTATGGTTACATTGTACACTCACTAAAATTTGCCTTTTGTGATAGATTCCACATGATCTCAAATTCTTTAACTAGATCGAGCATTTCTTGTTTTCCCCCTCACCATGCAAGTTTTCGCGATTTGTTTGGAATTTGGTGGTAAAGCTTTAGTTTAGAGGTTCTTATTGACTTTTATGTTTGCCATCTCCCTGAACCATCACATGGATTCGGAAGACAATTATACCAGGAAAGATCTTGTTTTGTTCTGTATATTGTTATATTATGATTTTGAAGTTTAATCACTATAGTAGTTGTTTATAACTTGCTCTTCTTTTGATATTTGTTCAACAGACAATTGTACCGAGCACTCTACAGTTATCAGCTATGGCATCTCAGATGTTGATCATAAGCCCCATGCTGTCTCTAATTTCTGCTTTGGTAAGGCTTTTAATATCAATTTTCTCTTCCCTTATTGTGAATCTTTTATGTGGTAGAATTAAATAGATGAGGCAATCTGTTTGTGTTTTTACTCTCAGGTGATTCCCTCAATGACTCTCTCAATTGGATGTCTAGGAGAAAAGCTTCGTGCACTATCCAACATGGCGGATCTTAGTACGGCTGCTCTGTCAGCTTACCTAAATGAGGTGTAATAGAATCTACCATTTAAAATGTCAGCTGACAACATGCACTCAATCTGTCATTTAAAGCTGGAGTTTGATTCTGAATTATTCTCATTGAAATAATTCTGCAACTGCAATTGAACCATGAATTTTTATATCCATCCCTGCTAATGCATGATGGTACATCTTTTTAAAACTAACAAGTTTCACTTCAGTTACTAATTACTTTTTTTTTTTATACATATGATAAAGTTTATGTCTAATGATTTCTTGGAAATGAGACCGTATTAAAGAATTGTTACAGTCAGTTTTGATGCTGCATTTTCTTTGTTCTATTTTCTGTTGAGAAACTTAACAACGTTTACCTTACGCTTTTGTTTTAGGTATTCCCTTCAATTCTTTTTGTGAAGGCAAACAATGGTGAATCCAATGAGCGTATTAGGTTCCAGTCGCTTGCTTCTGCTGACCTTTCTGCGTGTTTGAAAAAGAAGCAAATGAAGGTTTTGATCCCTCAGATAATACAAATGATGTTTTTTGGAGTTTTACTCATTATAGGTGCCTGCTCACTGTTGGTTTCAAGAGGCTCATTCGATTGTTCCGCCATAGGTTCTTTCTTGACATCGCTGATTCTTTTGATTGGCCCAGTTCAGGTAATTTTACGTATTTTGTTTACTCTATCAGTAACTAGTTACTTCTCTGTATTTTTATTCCTTCAATGCCTATTTTTAGTTGGCTTCGCTAATATTATGACATTTATTTTTACTAAATTATTTGAGGTACATTTATCATATATATATTCTGTACAGATAACTGCTGTATAGATAACTGCAGTTCTAATTCTTTTATGTCCTTTTCTTCCTTTTTTAGGCCCCCCGTTTTATGCATATATTATTAATCTTCTGAGAGGTGTATAACATTTTTATTATGTTTCTCTGATTGGTATGAGCAAATACACTTACATACAATGTTACATCAATTTTTAAACTTTGTTAGAAAGGTTCAGGGTCAGCACGCTCTAGTATTTTCCTCATAATCTATGCAAAAGGTAAAAGTAGAGTAATGATTTTACTTATTCATTTTAGCATTTTGATTGTCTGGGATGATTTCGCTATCCATCTTTCTAATGTATGTTTATCTGAAAATAAAGAATTATGCAGGGTGTGGGAAAAGCATACAACGAGTTGAAACAAGGAGAACCAGCTATAGAGCGGTTGTTTAATTTGACCTTGTTCAACTCAAAGGTCGATTTTTGTGATGCTACACACTCTTTATATTTTTATCATTTCTAAGATTACTGCATTATTTTCATTTTCAGTATAGATTATAAGAACACCTCTTTACATTAGACTGATTTAGTTACATATGAAGCATGCAAACCAGATGATTGAGAAACCAGATGCACTTGATTTAAATTCTGTTGCTGGTGAAGTGAAAATTTGTGACCTCTCGTTTTCATATGGAGAGGCTTTGGCACCTGTTTTGAACTGCCTCGATCTTCATATCAAAGCTGGTGAGACAATTGCTCTAGTTGGCCCATCGGGTGGCGGCAAGACGACACTTGTGAAACTTCTGCTTCGTTTATATGAACCTCTTTCTGGTGGGTAGTTGAAAATTGAAATAATTCTTATTGATAAGATAGGACCACATTTTTCCCCTCTTTATAGTTTAGTGACTGAAGTTTTATGAGATTTCATTTGCAGGTTCGATATTGATAGATGGCCATGATATTCGAAATATTCGGTTAGAGAGCTTAAGGAGACATATTGGTCTGGTCTCTCAGGACTCAGTATGTTTGTAGTGAATTTTGAATAATCCTGCCTGATGAAGCATAAATTATCGTAATATAAATGTCCCGGACTGTTGCTCACTGACGGAGTTTCTGATTTATTTTCTTTTTTTTTTTTCTTTTTTCACCTTCAGGTACTTTTTTCAGGAACTATAGCTGAGAACATTGGGTACAGGGATTTAATAAGCGGCATTGATATGGACAGAGTAGAAATTGCTGCTAAAACTGCAAATGCTGATGAGTTCATAAAATGTCTTCCCGATCAGTATGAAACCAATGTCGGGCCCAGAGGCTCGAATTTCAGTGGCGGCCAAAGGCAAAGGTGAGAATTTTGTGTGGACATGTTCAGTTACTTATTTAACGCTCGGAATTTAGTGCCCTATGTTTTTTTTCCCCCTTGAAGTTTTTTTTTTTTTGTTTTTCAATCGCAGGCTAGCAATTGCAAGAGCACTCTATCAGAACCCATCTATTCTTATTTTAGATGAAGCAACTTCTGCATTAGACAGCCGATCTGAGCTACTGGTTAGACAAGCTCTTCAACGCCTAATGCAAAACCGCACGGTAGAACTCACGTTTGCGTGCTAAAATTATATTTCAACTTACGGAACTTTCAAATTGTTAGAGACTGCACCTCTTTTTGAGTTAAAGTAGTTTAAATTTCTATTTTGGCGCTTAAATCGATGGTTCTCAGGTGTTGGTCATTGCACATCGGCTGGAAACTGTGCTTATGGCAGAAAGAATATTCTTATTAAACAATGGGAAGCTGCAGCAACTGAGTCATTCTGCTCTGAGGGATGGGCAATTGAGTCAATCTGCTCACTTGCGACTGCACGTGTAATTTTGTACTTTGGACATTATTCGAGTCTTTTAAGTTCGTAATACCACAAGTAGTTCGATCATAGGGTTCTAGTCTAGGATCTTGAGTTCGTTTTTCTGACTGCTGATTTTGTGAATTTTTTGAAATAATTTTGAGTTTTTATCTGTTTGACAGATACACTATGATCTGCGTTCACATGCTTAGCAATGCTGAACAGTGAAAACTTGATGAGATTTGAGAGAGAATAAAATTTGGGTTGAATTTTTATTTTATAATATTTATGCACAATTCTGAAATTCAAATAATGGTTTAAACTAGTAGATGACATGTAATTTTTCGGGTTGCACTATTTAATTATTCTACAACTCAAATCTTTTATTTTTTTGTACTCAGGAGCAAAATTATATGTAACAGTGGAGTGATGTTTATCAAACCCAATGATAGGAAATTAGATATATATCTAAAACACATTTATTCATCCATAAAAAAGATATATTGTTTATTCTCTTCACTTTTTTTTTTTTAATTTATCCAACTCACATTTTCTAATATATTTTTTAAGTTAAAAATTAATAATTACTGTACATTTATCTATAAAATCAACTATTATATATTTATAACTACATAAATTATTATTTCAATATTTATCTATTATATCAAAATTAATTGTTATTCTTATTATATCAATAACTAGCGCGTAGTCCGTGCGATGCACAAGATGGTATATTTTCCTGAAATGTTTAACGTGTGAAATATTAAAAATAATATAATTTATATATATGTAACAAAAATAAATGGATTGCAAAGAAGGGAAAAAAATATAAATTATTGAACACTTTCTTTGTGAAGTAAAATTGTGAAGCTTTGATATATTTGATAATGAATAGAAAAGTATGAGATACTACCTGCGGACTGTTGAGATAGATGAGAAGATTTACTTAGAATATATAGAATAAATATTGAGATAATGATTTACCTTTTGCCTAGTATATATAAAATTAATATTGACATGATGTGGGAAAATTATGACGAATTATGACATAAATTCGTTTAAAAGTTAGTAGAAAATATTAAAAAATTAGATTTATTTTTTATTTTTTAAATCCTTACAGTAATTCGTACGCTCCCTTTCATACGCTTAATTTATCAAGTTTACACATACAAATCAAAATTAATGCAACTCGAAATATTATATAACAAATAAAATGAGATTTTTTATCCAACATTTAGTATATTGCCAGAAAATCTTTTATAAATCTTATTCTCTTTTTATGCACATAGATATTAAAGAATGAGTAAAAAAATTATCTAAATATGTTTAAAAGTATCTAATATTATATGTGTTAACAATGTTACAACCAAAAGACATTAAGAATACGTAGACTATTATATAACATATGTGAAAGTATTAAAATATTTTATATTATTATCGAAAAATGTGAAATTACCTCAATTCTGTCTAGACTATTTTATAAGAAAAATATATATACTTAAAGTTAGCGTAGACACACATATATATATCATTAAAGTTTGCCAACTAACATGTTTAAAAGTATATACGATTTTATATATAAAAACACGTTTAAAGTTTACATATTTTACAAAAATTAGACTGCTCTCAGTTTATATAAAGTTTGTTTTGTTGCTCTCATATTCGGATAACGTATTAAATGCACCTACGATACAAATTTATAAATATTAATTAAAATAATTTTCTAAATTATATAAAATTGAAATAACAAAGGTAAATATTACCTGTTCATCATGAAACAGTATATGGAATGCGTTACAGCTCTCCCGTTCGTGATGGGTTTCAATAATGCGGGATGCTGTCAAACGAAAAAAAAGTTTGTTTCTTTTGTTAACGGAATCAAGTATACCCCAGCCTGGCAGCATTACATTGTATATGCAATGAAAAGCCTGGAAGCATTATATTGTATATGCGATGAACAATTATTCTCTGTATTTTTTTTCTCTGAACTCGTGAATGATGAATTGTAATGGTGGTAGTGAATATCCTTTTATACAATTTTTTATTAACCAATAAGATAATTATAGATTGTATTTGGATAGATAGTAAGTCCCATGATTTTTGCAACGGACAATCAATGTCACATATTTTTTATTAACCAAAAGTGATAAGATAGTTATGGATTGTATTTGGATAGATAGTAAGTCCCATGATTTTTGCAACGGACAATCAATTTCACATGCTTAATTAACGGAAATATCACCATTATTAAGGAGAATATCCATTTGCTTAATTAACGCAAATTTCTTGCTAAATTAACGAAATATCCACTGCCTTTTCACGATTTTTCTTCCGATTTTAAAGTAGAATACATAAATATATTTTTGCCAACTCAATTATTTTTAAGTTTCTAGAAAAGGATTTTTACATCAAGCTTTTAGATATAGATCATATCAAAATATATTCAATCGCTTAATAAATGACGAAAATTAAAGCGGGAACTTTTGCCGCCAATCGCAGCTCTCAACTCTGCTCCTTTGATTTTTTTTCACTCAAATATAAAAGGTAAACACACCCGTAAACCCTAATCATCTTCTTCATTTTCCCCGGCGCTTGGTTTTCGCTAATCGATAAAACTAATAGTACAGTTTTTCGACACACAAAAAGAGCATGGACACTTCAAATCCGGCGGTTTTCGTGAACGCGGAGCTGCTCCGTCTGTACGTTGGCCGGAGAGTCCGCGCCGTGATTCAGGTGCTCAGATCGGACGGCGGTGGGTCCGTCGTTGGGAAATCGACGGATGAGCAGCAGATTGTCATCAAGGGCCGGCCCCCTGCCCCGCTTTCAACCTTCGTCGAGGTCATCGGCATTGCCGACAGCAACCAGTCCATTCAGGCCGAGATTTGGACCAATTTCGGCGATAATTTCGGTATTTGAGCATCTCTGGACTTCTGATCAAGCTTTCAGCTTAATACTGTTATTTTCGGGTCATTTTCTTTCTTTTGTGTGTGTGCTTGATGTCTGCATCTTCATCGTTTGAAATTGGAATAGCTAGTGGCTTCTGATGGATGATTGGTGGTTCTATCGAGTTTCTTATTGGTGCGTTAGTTGATTTTCCAGATATGACATCTGTCTAGGAGCTTACGTTCTGGTGTAAAAATAATAATTTTCAGGTTTATCATCAATTACTAATGAAACTAGAAAATTTTATTTTCATCTCTGATTGTGTATACTTAGGTACACGATAAACCTTGGTATTGCGCTTTTAACGTTTTCATGTGTCCCTTAATAGTTTTATGTAGTTCTGTTTTATCAGTTTGTAATCCATCCGTACTCTAGTATGAAATTTTGGGCTCATTTAGGAAGGTAGAAGAGTTTGCAAGCATTAATTACAAATTCTGTTGTTAAGCTGTCTTATGGTTAAAAGTTATATATTTTTAAGCAAAAATGCATCTTCATAGTACAAAATGTCTTACTCCCTCCATTTTGAAATATAAACGCTCAAAAATCAAGACAATTTTTTACATTTTTTTTTAAATATACCCTCATTGTGTTGAAATTAAGGAAGTGTGGAGTGGTTGTGATTAGAGTAAATAAGGTTAATTTAGTCAATTTATTCATTAATTAATGTCTCCTTAATACTTGTGCAATAACCTTAAATGCCTTATCTTTCAAAATGGAGGGAGTAATTTTTTTATAAACTATGATATTTTAGTTTGAAAATATGTAAATCTTTTGAAAAAGTATGATTAATTGATTCAACATGAGTTGCCTAATACTACTTTATGTTAACCACACTTATGTTCATTTCAAAATCACAGTATATGATATTCATTTTTCAAGGAAACTTGAATTAGATACTGTGCAGGCTCGTATAAAGGTTCTAAGTATGTTAACCTAGTTTGTTATGTGGAAAGTTTAGTCTTGAAAATGAGTGCCCTTGTTTTTCTCTTTGCAGAACACCTGAGTTTAATACAATTTTGTAGTTGCTCCATATTTTAATATGGTTTGCAAGTAAATTCAATCTTCTTATACTTGTTTCTGCAGATACAGCATGCTACAACAGTGTCTGTCAGCTTGCAAATGGGGAATTCAAGCACTTGTTCATCTAAAGCAGCAGTTTTATGGCACATCGAAAATCTATCACATATCTAAAGCAGCAGGTTTTTGGCACATCGAAAATCTATCACATATCAAATCCTACATGGATCTTCTTGTGTGATGTCTCGTGGGTAGTGTTCTGGCAAAGTTTGTAATGTTTATATTTCATTTGCTCACTTGTAAGAAGAATGTTTATGGGTTTGTCTGAGTATCTAAGGATTATGAATACTATTGGGAAGCTTTTCTGGGATTTTGATTCTGAATATTTGAGGATTATGAATACTTTTAGGAAGCTTACTGACAATCAGGCACACCCACAATTCAACCCAAGATTAATACTTGAAGAATGAAATCAGTTAGAAACAGTCTAAATTTCACTCTATGAATCTGCATATCTAAATTATAGCTTTGATCTTTCACAGTATCAGGTACAAGCACAACTAATAAAAAAAAAAACCCAAAAAAGAAAGAAAAAATAAAAACAGCAATAAAGAGAAATGATTCCCTGGTGTCATAATTTAATGCATTACAGCTTACTTCCAAAGTTGGGAATTGTAGTACTTTTACACATACCAAACTAAAACAAATTATTCGATGAGAAGAAAATAGGCGATTGCTAAGATAACGAAAAAGGGCAGCAGCTACACGAGCAGTAACTAACCCCAAATCATAGTCAATATCGAAACATGAACAAACAAAATGACTAAAATACCTTCAAAGAAAAACCGAATCATCTTCGGGCGGCTCAATCCACACACTCTCAAACGGGTCTTGTTCACCCCAATCATAACACTGCTTCCTTGGGTAGTACCTGCCATTATCAAGAGAATACGAGACACAACGCTTCCCATAAAACCGAACCTTTGAGAAATAAACATTGTTCCTCATGTCCCCAAGAAGATCCATCCTAGCTTGAGAAGACAAAAAATTCGCGAAAAGAGTCATCCCCCCCAAACTCTCCATCTCCACCCATACCTTGCTCGTCTGGTTCAGCTTATAGATAACCGGGTTCACAGCCGAGCACGTGTAAATTACGAAAATGTCCCCACCGTGCTCCGCCATGAACTTCCCTTTCCACCAATTCTTAACAAAGAAATTCTCGGGACATTTTGGCGGGGGCACCGAATGCACGGCCCACGTACTCTTCTGCGGGTCGTACACTCCAAGCCAGCCCGTTAGGCTCAGGCAGTAAAAAATCCCATTGCAAAAAACCAACTTATTCCAAATGCTGCTCACGAAAGGGAGTCGATTTTGGTAGTTGACCGTGGTCCACTCGGTGGCTCCCGGACGACAAGTGCTGACTGCCACAACAGTTGGGCTCACGTGCTTAACGGTGAAAAGTAGACAGCTTGCGGATTTCGGGCCAGCAGAAAAAGCCACTATTTGGTAAGTCAACTCTAGGCACGGCAAATTGATCGACTCGCGAGTGTACGGGCAGAAAAAGAAGACCGTTTGGTTTCTGGGTTTATACAATAGGAGCCACCCGTCTTTTGCGTAGCAAATCCTAGAGCCGTGAAGCTCGGGAAGCTCGAGCCAGTAGGTTTTTCGGTGGGAAGGGTCGTAAAATTCGTAGAGGTCGCCGAATTTCGGGAAGAACATGAGCCATGGAGGCTTGTTGGCCATGCGGACGTTTAGGGCGGTTTTGAGCCATGTTTTGCAGACGGCTGAGGCTCGGATATTGTCTCTGAGAGTTAGTTGGGAGAGGATAAGCTCGAGAAGCTCGGTTGGAATCTTGGAATGAGTCTCTTGCTCGTCTGGGTGAATGCTATCTGTTTTCTTGGTGTCTTTGAGTGTTTCGGCCAATCTGGAATTCGTGGGATTTCGAAAAGATTCAAACATTTTTTGAAAAATAAAATTCAACAGAGCAGGACAATACTAAAGTAAGCCCAGGTAAAATTGATTTCTTGAACCATTTGTTTGCTTCCCAGGATATGAAATAAATACACGATCACGCGATTATACAACAGAATACCGTCATTTTGCTAGGAACAAAATAAAAACATCGATCTCGATCAGAGCACCTTTTTACAATGAATACAGCAGTTTGTTGGAACTCATACAGGAAAATTAAAGGCCGTGAAACCTGGTAAAAACTACAAACCCATGTGTCTATCTATATCAAATCCCCAAATTATTCATCTTTCAGTGAGGAAATTGAAGAAATTAGTTCAAGAGCCTGAATTTTGCCAAGAAAAGAATATGACAACCAATGGGTTTAATAAACAACAGCTACAACCAAAATGCAATTGGACACATCAATCTGGCCTGATCTTGAACCCAATTGCACAAAAACAGTCAGAGTGATGGATGAGCACAAACAGTAACCCTAATGCACAATTCAATTGGTAAAAATGACGCAATTTCCAAAATTGGCCCAATTAAACATTCACCCAATCTTCAATACTCCTTACACAGTCAAATCCGATCTCTCACTGACTAATACAGACTTTTCCGACAAAGCAAACACAAAATTTCCCCCCGATTGAAGGGCCCGATCAATTCAACCCACAAAACAAGTGCCTGATTGGTTAATTGAGGAGGTCCCATCACACAATTTCTTATTTTTCAGATATAAAAAGGTTTAATTGAGGTTAGCATATGTACAGACAACCCATAACTCGATCCAACGATCACAGAAATGAAACAGAACCAAATCAAAAACTGAAAAAAAATAAAAGCAAGAAACTCACAATTTCATTTTCTTTCTTCTTCTTCCAGCCATGATGTGCGTAGCCAAGATTGAATTTTTCACAGTAAAAAATGGATCTTTTAGCGTTTCGTCAAGAAGGGATAGGGGTTATGAAAGAGAGGGTGAACAGAAGGGAAAGAATGATTGCTGTCAGTGTGTGAGATTGCTACCAAAAACCTGTTCCCCATAACACGTGTGGCCTTTAACGGTGCGTCTCGGGCAGTTTACGGTGGGCTTTTGGTCCTTGCAAAATGGCCTCCAATGGCTAAACGACACGTGGAGACGGTATCAGTTATCTGGTCGTGAATAAATAATTTTTATTGTATGAAATATTTCTTCTTTTTACTGGGCAGAGTAATAATTTCTGTAGTGGAAGTCAAAGGTATGGCTATCTAATTATTTACTGAAGATTTTTCACTTTTAGTCGGTGGGCAAGTGATTGATGCTATGTGATTTTGTGCGGGGGAAAAAGGAGTATTGTAGTATTTGATATTGTTGAAATTTGTGTTGGATAAAATATATTTCGTTTTTCGCAAAAGAGTATATGAAATGTGACTGGTAAATATGATATTATATATATGGCACCTGTGTATAGTATTGAGTAGTGACACAGATTGGATTTTGGTAATTTCCACTTATATTTTTTAATACATACAGTTAATATGAGTGAGAGTAAATTGTATGCTATTCATATTTAACCTTTTATGCCGCGTTTTATTCTAGTACAGTAGTACTACAGCACATAAGTATTACATTGGTTCTAGGTTTTTAAAAAAAGTAAATAAGTGGAAATAGAAGTGTTTAATTTAAATTTAAATTAAATTATATGTTTATTTATATTTAAAATGACACTATTCGTTTGAAAGCTTTGCCTTTTTTATTTTATAATAATTTTCCCAACTCATGTCATACAACAACTTTATAAATAAATTTATTTAAGTGATAAAAAATGTAATTATATATTAATATTAATAGATAATTAAATTTCTACAGTAAGTCAAATATATTTATTTATTTATTTATAATATAATGATATATGGATGTTAAATTAAATCCCGTCAGTCAATTATTAGTTGAATATATCATTTGTGAAAACTCATAGCAAATAAAAACTTATTAATTTTTGAAATATATTAATAATTTAAGTTAATCAAGTATTTTGTAATCATAAAAGTCCTAGTATGCATGATAGAAATTCAAATCGACACGGGTACTCCAAAATATCCCAAATTGACATATAAAATTACGATTTCCTAAAGTTGACATATGTGCTTTAAAAGTTCTTTGTTTACCTATGTTGGGAAAAATACGCTGAAATTTCCATGAAGTCGGATCTATAAAAGTGAAATAAAAAAGAAAATTGGACACGCCAAATTGATAACGGTGTTCGGCCAATAATGCCTACGTCTCCGAACTACTGCAGATATTTTGTTAAGAAAAGAAAATACACTCGTGTTTACAAACACTCTCAAACTCACTCACAACTCACAACTCAAATACACACAGAAGCCAAATTCTTGCTTCTTGCTCACACCCTTTTTCTCTCTCTCTTTTTTTTCTTTCTTGGTGTTGTTCTTTTTGTTGTGGTGTTTTTGCTTCATCATCTTCCCCTCTATTTATAGATGGGGATTGCACAATTTTTTCCACATTTGTGTACTCAATTTTCCACAAGATGGTGCTGCAATTGTGAATGCTCCATTTTTTTTTTCTTTGGCTGCTTGTCAAATGAAATCTTTTGACTCAACAATCTCCCACTTGAGGACTAATTTCAATCTGTCCTCACACCTCAATCACTGCAGTAGTCTTCTCGGTCTGTTATTCTAGCAGGCCAACTGAAGTTGAGCACAACTTCAGTTTGTCAATGGTCACCACTTTCGTTAGCATATCTGCTGGGTTCTTGCTTTCTACAATCTTGTTCAAAGTCAACACTTCATCCTCGAGAAGAGATCTGATGAAATGATATCGTATGTCAATGTGCTTAGTTCTGGAGTGAAACACTGAGTTCTTTGCCAGATGTATTGCACTCTGACTGTCACTGTGCAAGACACTCTCTTTTTGAGTGAAACCCAACTTTGCTAACAATCCTTGAAGCCATATCAATTCTTTACTGGCTTCTGTCACTGTTACATACTCAGCCTCTGTAGTGGATAGAGCAACAATCTTTTGTATCCGCGACATCCAACTAACAGCTGTAGCTCCGACAGTGAAAACATAACCGGTGGTGCTTCTTCGGTGATCAACTTCACCTCCAAAGTCTGCATCTACGTAGCCCTGTAACTTTAGATCTCCTTTTCTAAAGTACAAACATTTTTCTGTTGTGCCTCGTAGATATCTCAAAACCCATTTGACTGCTTCCTAATGAGCTTTTCCTGGATTTGACATAAACCTGCTAACAACTCCCACTGCATGGCCAATGTCTAGCCTCATACAGACCATCGCGTTCATCAAACTTCCAATGGCTGAAGCATAAGGAATCTTAGCCATGAACTCTTCTTCTTCCTTTGTTTGAGGAGACTGATCCTTGGATAGACGAAAATGACTGGCCAAAGGTGTACTGACTGACTTAGTCTTGTCCATGTTAAATCTCTGCAAAACACGGTTGATATACTCCGCATGAGATAACTGCAAAACTCCCTTTTGCTTATCTCTCGTGATTTGCAT